AATTTGGACTCTCTACTGTCACTTCGACTTTTTTACATTTTTTTTAATTTTTCGAATTTTTCGCTCCATCGATTCGAACGAAATATGATTTAAATTTCATAATTTTCATGAATACGAGACTTCAATGTCATATCATTCCTAGAAAATACCCGCATTGGCCTGTTACTAGAATAAGTAATAAATACACCTCCAGAAATTCGTCTTTGTTGTTGCAAAGTTCATCTAGTTTTTTCATTTCATTGTTTAACTGATTCATTCAAATTTTAAACGTATGGAAGTTAAAATATCAGTATTTTTTTTTATTTGAAAAAATGTAAGTTGCATCAACCCTTAGGGTTACTAGCAACAAAACATTAACATTTCATGAATTTAATACTATTTACAACATTGAGGCTAGAAACTGTGTGACATTAAAAATAAAACTTATATCCTGTGGAGAAATTCTATTTCTGGTAAGAACCCAACGACATTTCCAAAGTTGCATTGCTCTCCGAGAAAAATATCAGTAATCGAATGAACGTATTTCTCTTCATTCTTATCACACTCGTATTTCTTTTTCAAATGGATTCTTATCCAGTTTGATTATTTTTCTGACCAATGATTCAGTTACAAACTAACTTGAAATATCATACTTTTCTGTAAACCTAACATTGACCTACAGTTTCATAACTATTCAAAAGACTTTCGTTCTAGCGATTTGTACTAAACATGATAACTGTTCCTCAATAATAATAATAATAATATAAGTTTATTCAAATAACCGATACAAATATGAAAATCATCAAATAAAACGAATAAACGAGAATACAAAATCACGAAGCGTCAGTGGTGAGACCGTTGCTTGTATGTGATAGATTAACGATGACCAAAGTAGCCAGTCAAAGATGACACAGACCACGGTTTTGTAAATGTCTTTATCGATAACACAGTTTGTCTCGATTCGTTCTTAGAATTGAGTCTATTTCAGTTTGATCCCTTTATTTTTCTCGTAAGGCTGACAACAAATTCATCAATCATGAGTATATAGTAGCAGTTAGAAAGTCAAAATTCTATTGTTTCCATAGTCCATTTAATGATTTCTATAACAGAATCGTCAACCTCTAAAGTGTGAACATGTTCACTAACAAGGAATTTTCAATCGTGCTGTATAATATCGAAATTCAACTGTTCTTTGTCCAATGTTTCAGGAACCAGATTTTGTTTTGCCTTTTTTCCAGGTTTTTGCGTTGAATCTGACTTTGTATTCTTTGTATTGCTTCTCGCAAGAGACGTATGTCAAGATAATACTCTTTATTGGCTGTACGCCTATGTGATAAGAACTCCTGATCCAATAAGTTACGGTAATCTAAGAAAACAGTGAGCAAAACCTTGATATTTGGTCGAACTTGGGGTGCTTTTTAGGTCTTGGCTCTCTTGGGCTCTTCTATTGGGACGATTGGACTTTGCTTTGATGTCATAACCATAAACTCATGATTCGTTACTATGACCTGAATCGAATCGCCGTTGACGTCATTCAACAATTCCTGAGCGATGCTCGTACGACATTTTCTGGTCAAAATTCAGCAATTTTTGAACGAGTTTTGCTGCCACACGTCTAAAATAAAAGAATAAAAATTGCATGAAATGAGCCAACCGATATGCCGACATCCTCAGCAACTTCTATGATAGTGATTCAACGACTCTCCATTACAAATTTTTTAAAATTTTCAACATTTTCATCGGTTGTTGATGTGCTGGAGCTTCCAGGGCAAGCGTCGTCATTCACATCTTTTCCACCTTCTGTGAAGAGCTTGTACCACTTGTAAACATTTTTCTTATTTAAAGCACCTACAATCACCTATGTCACTGTCAACATTGCAAGTGTTGATGCAAATTTGATCCAAATTCTTTGATCCACTTTTTTCGATAGCAAAAAAACACTGAACACGCCAAACACTTCTAATTTTTATGCCACTCACCAACAAACTAAACAAGCTTGTTTGGTTTCAGAATCTTGCCATCAAAATTATTATATTTTCAAGTGAATTGTGAACTTTAAATTTTCAGTATTTAAGAGTTGCCAGCTCTAAAATTTCTACAAGAAAACAGATTGTTTCATGGTGTTAGGAATCACACGTTGAAAGGTAAGACCTCGTTAATCCTTAGCTCGCACAAGTTTCTACTTCTGAGGGTTGTCGTTCGTAAGGGTGCGACAGCTGGTTAACGGAAAAACAGATTAATCTTGCCAGTTATTTTTCTTATCTTATCATTTTACAAGAGTTAAAATTAATTCTTATATGTATTGAGTACTCATACGATAAAACTGAGAACATATATTGGAGGCGAGTATACCAACATATAAATATTGCTTATCGAACATATGTTGCCCGCGAATTTTGAATATTCATCTTTTTTGAAATAGTCCATGTACATTTGTGATGTTCTAGATGCATTTGAAATGTTTCCAGTCGGTGATCTATTCCTTGTTTTGCTTCCGGATTTTGATAAAGACGACCAACTTTTTCAATAGTGCCTCTATCGGTCCTTTCCATATGGGCGCTGATTGTCTAGAATTTTCCGGAGGTTCCAAGAATTGCGCCAATCATTTCACTGTTAGATCTACTGAAGAGCTAATTCCAAGCCTGATGAATCACTCTATGTCAGGTTCGAATTCTTTCGAATTCGTTCCGTCAGGCTTTTAGTTATCGAAGGTAGATGCTTCAAAGCGTTTTTTTAAGGACAAAACACAAGCACTACAAGAAAATCCTTGAGACGCTCTTAGAGTGGTGCCTGTGCGAAAGTAACGATTCACATTGGATTTGAATCGCTTGAGTTTGAAGCCACTTGGAAAAACGTTCCCAGGAAATTTCATCATAAACGCAGTTCTCCAGATGAAAGATTTCTCAAACAGTGAAGTTTCAGGTGTACTGAGTTAAACCTCAAATTGATGAGCATCCACAGTCCGTCGCGTATTTCTGATATGTACCGCTCTTGGTGGAATCAAATGTGCCAAGTCACTTGAACACCTTCCGTGAAAGTATCTATAGGAAAGAGACAAATCTCCAACTTTTCTTTCATGTTCCACGCTATCAAGGTTGCACGTGATGTTCGCGTCTCTGGATGGAATCCAGCAACTTCAGGTTATGTTTGGGGGAAAAGCTCCATACATAAGAACAATATTCCAGCTGATGTGAGCTTTATAAAGCATCAAAAGTTGCTGAGGTGTGTACAGTTTTCTGGTTCAGAACAGTGTTCCAAGCTTTTGAGAAGCAGCTTTCGCAATTCCAGTGACATGATTGTGCCAAGACATATTGGCACATTATTATAACCGGTTCAGACATTTATCTTCTTGGAGAAAACCGATTCCTGGGTTTTTGTGGCATTGAATTGAACCTGGTTATCCTCACCCCAATTCTAAATCACTTTTGAATCCTCATCAAGATATGCAACCTCCTGCTGCCGGTGAAGATGGGCCTCCATACCTGAAGTCCTGGAATCTAAATGGAATGACGAGACACTTGTCTCGTCTTGGAGATTCTTGGTTTTTTCCAATAAGTCGTTGATATACAAGAAGGAAAAACCTCATTAGAATGAGGTCTTACTAAAGTAAGACAGGTTGAACAGTCTGCAAAATGCTGGTGCGAATTTATTTGCGCATTTTTCAAGTACGACGACGGGCACTTCTTCATGACCATACGCCTTCTTGATATTAAGCTGTTTCAAAATTCGCCTGACTAGACGCTGTCGAAAAGTAAGTTCCAGCATTGTAGATTCTAGTGTGGGAATAGTGGGTGATGCCTTTCCCAGACAATCGACTGTGAAGTGGGACGCAAATTGTTCAGCTAGTAGATTTGCTTTTTCTATGGCTGTTGTTGCAATTGAACCATCCGCTTGTATTCGAGGTGGAATTGTGGATTTGACAAAGTTCTGATTAACAGCTTTAGCTATCGACTAGAAGGATCTAGACCCTTTGGGACTGACAAGCAGTTCATCCCTAATTCTCTGATTCTGAAGTTCTTCGCTTTCATTTATCCTAAGTTTGCAGCTGTTGCAAGCATTAAGCTCATTCAGGACTCTGATGTCTTGTTTGTCGTCTTTGTCATCTATAATCAGAAAAAAATTAAATTTAAGGGTTTGCTCTTCTGGATTTCTGAATAATATAGAAGACAGTTATGAACATATTCCTTGACAAACAGCTTAATGAACAACAAAATGATAAAGTCAATATCGAATATATTACCATATTTGATCAGATAACTGAAAAGCTCATTCTTTTTTTATGTGAATAATTAAAGAGTATGATCCTGGTTACAGGAATGAATAAATGTATGGTGAGACGGTAACCTAGTGGGTTGACGTGGGTGATTTGCTTTATTCACTCAACCGCTGTGTGAACCGGTGGTTTGAACCGCAAGGCTGGACGGTCAATTTCCATTTCATATCGTCCAACCCGTGTTAGGGATCACACGTTAAAAGGTAAGACCTCGTTAATCCTTAGCTCTCACAAATTTCGACTTTTGAGAGTTGTCGTTTGTAGGGGCAGCGACAGTTGGATAACCCGACCCGGCTTTCTAATGGTAACAGAACATATGTGCCTATTGTGTGCGGTCCATATGTATGGAATAAATTCATTTTTAGCGTCATTATGTACTATGTGAAAAAAACCTGAAACAGGTCGATTTTTATTCTCAAATTAACAATTACCACTATGAAAGTATCCCCCTCCAGCATCCCTTCTGAATTATAAGCACCCCTCCGAAAATTTTAGATAGCAAAGGGGGTCGTGTGGCACCTTGTTGGAAAGGGATTTTAGTCTTCTGTTCTGCAATAATTAATACGCCCACAAATATTATACTGACGTCTTTAAGTAACTTTAAATACCTAAATGACAGCAGCCTACTAGATTCATATCAATTGTTTATTTGGCTTTTTGTCTGATATTTTAGTATCTTCCAAGATTTTTTCCAGGATCCAAGGTTAGTAAGGAGCGTGTTAAAGAGATGGTCTGTTCAATATATCAGGTTATTGTCAAGAAGTGAATAATGGTGGTCATTTTGAACATTTAATTTTATTGTAAAAATTAATTTTGTCAGTTATGATTGCACCAAACTTTAAAAACTTCATTTTGCTGAACAGAGAACAAAAATCCCTTTCTAACAAGGTGCCACACAACCCCCTTTGCTATTTAAAATTTTCGAGGGGGTGCTTATAATTCAGAAGAGGTGCTGGAGGGGGATAATATTTTCATACTGTAAATTGTCAATTTAAGAATGAAAATCGTCCTGTTTCAGGTTTTTTCACATAGTACATAATAACGCTAAAAATGAATTTATTCCATACATATGGACCGCACTGTATATTTTTTACTGTCATAGTATCACAACATTCGAGAGTATTCGAAAGCTTTTAGGAATAGTTGGGAACATTCGTTTCGGTGTATGGACGGAGCTACCGATTAGTAAGAGTATATAAAGTAAGATACGTCGACTTCTCATAATTTAAAGTCTTTTTATTCCAACCACCACACCATCTTTCATCTTATATTTGCTACCTGAGCAAAGATGGGTAACTCACCTATCAAATAATAATGATAATTGATAAAATTCACTTAAAAAAAGTATATTTACAAATATCAATTTTGTACTAGGTAGGTACCTATCTATCTAAAAACAACAAATTAAAAACTTTTCTAGCTTGAATTCATTTTCTCTCGTGATAGGTCTGATTTTGGAATAACGCCCAAGATATAATTTCGAACTGGCATCTGGAAAATCAGATCACAGATAGCTAGAGATATAATGAAACATCGATATCAGTACTCTGGAAGGTGTCGGATTTTGGTTTCCCAAGACCCAGAATTTTCATCTTCCCATCATAAGGATGATGAGGAACATGTCTTCACAATTGACATAGTAGCCTTCGAACCAGTTTTCTGATCAAATGTGAATCCATGATCTGTTGCAGAAAATCTGGCGCTGAATCAATTCCTGGATTAGGGTTTTGTTCAATTAAGATGGTTTCAATAATCAGCGAACATTCCTCATAGAGAAGTCTCCATAATTGCGTCCCAAAATTATTGAAGGAACCAATTTGTTAATGAATACAAGAAAAAAAGCATTGGCAGAAGATAAAGTTCAATAAAAGTGAATCGATTTTATAGGACTATGCGAACTAGATAGAGAACAAAAAGTCGTGATCTCTTCACTAACGGAATATATACAAGACGAACAGATCGGAAACTTTGTGAAGAACTTGATAGATAAAACTGGAAGCTCTGGAATGACATTAATCTATTCACAACACCAGAACGAAACTAGAAGCGTGTTTTGCTGAGTTAGCATCATCAGTAGTTGAATAAAGCTGGCTGACTAGGCATTTCCTGATGATGCTAACTAGGTTAGCAAAAAGTGGGTCGATAGACAGTATTTTTGTTCTGGTGTGTGAAAAGGGTTTTCAATATATATTTACTCTGTAAAAATACCGGAGATTCTCCATTACAGTTCTATAATGTACTTTTATATTTCTAATAATCGCATACTCAAAAGCAAGACAGCTTTTTTCTAGTTCCTGTAGTGTATCGAAAACTTCCAAACGGTTACCCAAAGCTAAGTGACAATTTCATCCAAAGACGATTGTGGCTATTTTAGATCGGAACAAAATGAAATATCTCGCTTATGAATTTGTTTTTGTACTCTTTCATCATTATATTTTCCTATTTTTATTTATTTCACCTTGATACGTATCACCATCCACATGCTAAGTATAGTTGGAGAAGTTGAGAAAGTCTCCAATAAAATCTTGTAATGAAATTGCTGATCACTATCATCACAGCTTATTTAACTCAAGCTTTATCACTAGTCACTTCATTTTTCATGAAAAGATACTTACAGAATAGTACTGCTAGATACTTCTGCGAATCAATAAGTAAGTCCATCATTTCATCAGTGATGTCTGGTATTTCACTATGTCTTTTCTGGTGTAGGAGCCATCCGAGCAATTCTTCCTCTTTGGTCAAATCTCCCTCATACAAATGAGGAATTTTTTTCTCGAATAATACCAAACTAGGGATGACGTCGATTCCGTATTCTTTGGCTTCGTCTGGATTATCGATTTTCACAAAAACTATGTTGTTCTGGTCACATTCGTCATCAATATTCTCCAATTCCACCAAAACTTTTTGACTCTTCTTCTGGTTCTTGTCATCTGCAAAGATTCAAAATTGTGATGTTCTGATGAATTGAAGGAAATTACTTACAGAATAAAACAGCAACGAATTGTCTTTTGTTGAGTATGATATCCAGCATTTCGTCGGTGACATCTTCAATTTCGTCACTCTTCACTTGATGTTCGAACCACTTCAGTACTTTATCTTCATCTTCCAGGTTACCTTCGTATAGCGTAGGAATTCCATTCTCGAAGTACACCATAGAAGGAATTTTCTCGATACCGTATTCTTTAGCTTCGTCATCGTTGTCAATTTTAACGAAAACGATTCCGAGCTTGTCGCATTCGTC